GGGCTGTTTCTGGATATGTATCTAACATTAATGGAGAGAAAAAAATCTTACGGTTGGTTTTGCATCCTTTATCTACTACCTCAACTGGAATTAGTGATCAAGAAAATTTGAAGATTAGTAATTTGCAGTCCGACGTTCCTAGTAAGAAAGACTTGTGTCATTTCAATGAAGGGGACATTGTTGGGGGAAGAATATCAAAAATGCTTCCTGGTGTTAGTGGACTGCTTGTGCAAATTGGTCCCAATTTGTTTGGTAGGGTTCATTATACAGAACTTACAGACAGTTTGGTGCCTGATCCGTTGTCTGGATATAATGAAGGACAATTTGTCAAGTGCAAGGTTATTGAAATCAACCACTCAGTTAAAGGTACAGTACACATTGATTTGTCACTGCGGTCTTCAGCAGGCACCATTTGCCAGGACAATGGAGAACACAGTAACCATGAGTAAGTCCTTTTGGATTATCAATTTGGATATCCTTTATTGTTTTGGCAGCATAATCATACTATTCCTATCTTTGAATTAGATACAGCATGAACTCATATCTCGATTAGATTTCTGATAAAGCATCTCTGGTCATTTGTATCTATTTATTTGATTTATTCAGTGGTTCGCACATTCATTTATTTTATGACACTTCGTTCCTTTATCCTTTTGTTTAACTCTTTTTAAGCATTTCTAGTGTCAACTATATCTTTTTGTTTTAACTTTTTTTCACCTTTGGCTTTGTTCTGTTGTGTCATTGTATTTAGTATTGTTCCTCACTGAGCACGTGACATATTTTTGGATATTTTCTTGTATGAAATAATGAGGTAGTTTGAAATCAAAACTGGAAGCATGCCAAATGATTTCTAGAATTTACCCAGTTGCTTTAAAACTATATAAGATGTAGTTGTTTTTTTTCTCTCTGTCAAACTGTTATTATTATATTACTCAGCAATAGACGTTCTTTTTCCAGACAAACTGCTTCCAGACGAGTGGAGAAGATACAAGATCTTTGTCCTCATATGGAGGTTCAGGTATTAATTTTCTTAAATATGCTAAACCAATCAATCTAGGGGCTAACTGCTACATCCACTATGAAAATTTATTTGAAAAATATGTTTGTCACTTCTTAAACATTACTTAGTTGGACTGCTGGACTGGAAGTTTGGCCTTCTTGCTTACAAGTTTGTATTCGTCGGTTGTTATATAGAAAACGATTTCTCAAAAAATATGCAGTCTCCTGAATAATGTTTCCTTTTATTTCTACACATCACAAGGAAGGCAAGTTGTAAGTTACAGTGATTTTATCTTCCCTAAGCTCCACTGCTCTGCATATATTTGATAGGGTTATGTGAAAAATGTATCTCCGAAAGGATGCTTCATTTTGCTCTCTCGAGGCTTGGAGGCAAAAATTCTCTTATCTAATCTATCCGATGGATATGTTAAGGATCCTGAAAAGGAGTTTCCCGTCGGGAAAATTGTTCGTGGAAGGTAAAACAAGTTTAAGCTATTATTACTCGTTCTTCATGTGGTTCTAGTCTTTGAGAGAAAAATAACAAACCATAATGCAGAATATTATCCTTGGAGCCTTTATCCAAGCGAGTGGAAGTTACCCTGAAGTCTGTGACTGCAAATGGTGCATTGAAAGCAAACAGTCATGATTTAAAAAGTTTTTCTGCTGGAGATATTGTATCTGGAAGGATTAAGCGGGTGGAGTCATTTGGTCTGTTTATCATCATCGATAATACGGATGTGGTGAGGATCTACTTTACCTGCTTACTTATTTAAGGTTACTAAACATTGAATAGATGCTGAGGTGTACTTTGTAGTTTAAAATATGTATATTTCTCCTTTGAGCTTTTTTTTTCCAAGACGAAAGATATTTCTATTTGCACAAATAGTTTGGTCACTATGTATCAATTTCAATGATCTCAACAGCTGAAAAGTCAATCTTGGCAGTTATTTATAGGTTAGGTACTGATAAATGTTTGTTGAGGTTCGGCTTCTTGTGCTATTAGAATGTAAAAGTGTCAGTGTTAGTTATCAAATGAGGATCTTTGTGGTGAGGCGGTGTACTCCACCTGTGTTGGATTGTATCTTGAAGTTTGAACAAATTTGCACGTTTAATAATGAAAGGGTGTATTATTCTCAAGATAAATGCGTATACTATGACCTAACTATTTTCCTTTTATAGGTTGGATTGTGTCATGTGTCAGAAGTTTCGGACGACCCTATTGAGAACCTTGAATTTAGCTACCATGCTGGGGACACGGTGAGGGCAAAAGTATTAAAGGTATGTATTGACCACAATGGAACTACTACCTTTATCTTCTTTTCTGAGTATACGTATATGTTTCGTATCTTAGTATTAACACTATCTTGTTAAGACAAGAGTTGTGTAATGGATTTTTGTTCATTTTATTTGTGTCCCTCTAAGTATGAGACCGTTTATACTTTGAAGCAACACACTGTCTATTATTTTTAACCTTTGATTTAATGTGTTGTGGGGTTTTCATAGTTTATTCTCTTTGAGGTCACATAATTGAGGTCTTTTGTTTTTTTGGTAAATGTTTTTCGTACTTCTGAAAACTGAACCTTCATTCTTCATTGCTATATACATTAATTATTGTGTATTATAATTTGTAATATTTGTTATTTTTCTCAAGGTGGATGAAAAAAGACAACGAATTGCTCTGGGAATGAAGAGGTCATACATTGGAGAAAGCAATGAGCTTTGTACGAACCTGGAAGAAACTAATGAAGATGCTACTGATGATGACAATTTAACCAAGTTCGAGAATATGGATGATGAATTTGACAATATTGAACCTGAACTACCACTTAGGCTAGCAGACTCAAGGGCTTTTGTCCCTCCACTTGAGGTCACTCTTGATGATATAGATGAAACTGACATGGATAACTTACAGTCCGAAAATAAAGAGCTGATCAGTGGTACAGTCTCTAAGGAAAAAAATGATAGACGAGAGAAGAAAAAGGCCAAAGAAGAAAGGTTAGACATTTTTTATAGTTGTAGTTTTTTTGTTCTTCATTTAGGCTTGTTTCTTATATTTTGACGTTTTATAGGGAAAAGGAGGTGAGGGATGCAGAGGAAAGATTATTGCAGAACAATATGCCAACTACTGCTGATGAATTTGAAAAATTGGTTAGAAGCTCTCCTAATAGCAGTTTTGTTTGGATAAAGTATATGGCATTCATGCTCTCTTTGGCTGATGTAGAGAAAGCCCGCTCAATAGCTGAGAGGTACTACTGAACTCACTTTATTCTTTTTTGTGGAGGATTATGGTTCTTGTGGTTGTTATTGTCATCCATTTGATATTATTAATGATTGTTGTTCTGTATTTTGAAGGGCTTTGAGGACAATCAATATTCGGGAAGAGAACGAGAAGCTCAATGTGTGGTTGGCTTACTTTAATCTTGAAAGTGAATATGGAAATCCTCCCGAGGTAATAGAAAAAGAAATAGAAACTTTTTTATTAGACTGATATCCAAGTTTTTCATGTCGTTGTTGCCCCTCGAACTAAAGCTTCGGTATCTTATTTTATGTTTTCTACAGGATGCTGTTGCTAAAATTTTTCAGCGAGCGTTGCAGTGTAATGATCCTAAGAAGGTTCATTTAGCTCTGCTGGGAATGTATGAGAGGACCGAGCAACATAAGATGGCTGATGAGCTCCTCGACAAAATGATCAAGAGGTTCAAGCATTCCTGCAAGGTACTTGACTATTTTTTACCATGAGTATATGGGCAGCATTCAATGTATGACAGGTTTAGCTGATATTGTATAAATTTCTGATCCACGAGAAGAATATAGAGGTCTTAGTGTTTTTTTTTCCGTGACTTTCAGGTTTGGTTAAAGCGGATGCAAAGTTTATTAAAGAATGGACAAGATGAAGTTCAATCTGTCGTAAACCGTGCCCTACTTAGCCTTCCACGGCGTAAGCACATTAAGTTTATCTCACAAACAGCTATCCTTGAATTCAAGTGTGGTGTGGCAGATCGAGGTCGGTCGATGTTTGAAGGAATTCTTCGAGAGTATCCAAAGAGAACAGACTTGTGGAGCGTCTATCTTGATCAAGTAAATATCATATTTACTGAATAGAGTATGATGCTTTTATACTCGAAATGGAATGGCCATTTTCTTACATCATTATGTACCAATTGTCCCAGGAAATTCGACTCGGTGATGCAGACATGATTCGTGCTCTGTTCGAGAGGGCAATTAGTTTATCTCTTGCTCCCAAGAAGATGAAGGTGAGTATATGCCTTCTTTCCCCTTTCTGGGAGTGTGTTCCATCTAACAGTAGTTCTTTGTTAAAGTTTAGGACTAAAATATATATTTTGAAAGATAAAAACTAAGATGGATATTTAAAAAGTGTTCAAGAGATCAAAGTTGGATTTAAACCATATTTAAACCTTTACAATCTTCTGGGTTTGCAGTTCTTATTTAAAAAGTATTTGGAATTTGAAAAGTCTGCTGGTGATGAAGAACGGATCGAATCGGTGAAGCAGAAGGCATTGGAATACGTCGAGAGTACACTGGCCTAATGAGTAACAGCTATCTGGAGTTGATACTGATCAAGTAAATATCAGTTCTCTTCAAGCATGATGAATTCCACCAGCTGCACGGAAGGTAAATTGCATGAGCATAGCATCCAAGAACTGTACGGGCTAACTAGCGTCGTTTTTTTAACTACGAACTCGACCACCCCCACATTTTTGTTAGCTGTGAAGTGAAGGGGTTTGTTTGTATAAGTTAAATTTCCATGAGAGTTGTTAGTGTTAGTAATCAGAGCAAGTAAAAGACTGTATTCTCCCCATTCCAATTTTGTATCATATTCAGTTTCTTTTTGTATCAGATTGTCCCATATATTCTAAAATGGTATGATTTATAAGCCTGAAAGCCCTATAGCAATTTGTTTATTCAACTTTTTATGGAATTAGTGTTATTTTCATATCTTTTTCCTGACATTTTCTATAATACATTACAAAAATGACCAGTCATGACAAATTCTCTTGAACATATATACATTTGTAGGCTTTGTATATCGTATGAACACTACTCAACCCAATTAATATCCAAATACTTCAGTCCTGCAAGCCATTTTTCTGTATCCTGAGAAATATATGGCTTAGATGGAGTTTTACTTTCAGAATCAACATCATTTACACCTAAATAGTCATTCTTTCTATCCTTGGCAAAGCTTGGTTGTCTGTTACGATGTCTCACTTTTAGTGACAAAAGCCGAGAAACTTCGTGCAGGCCGCCCCATTTCTCGAGTGCCCGTGCAATGTCGTACCTCCCTGTAACAAGGCTTTGTCGATCAATGTATTTTTACATATTAAAGTTATGGCTAACACGGCCCTCTGAGAGAATCCCATACTATCCTAAATATACATTTAGGAGTTCATGCTGTGCTATGAGCATACAATTATATAAATAATGGTTTATCAAACGAGTCCTTGTTACGCCCACCAAAAAGGAAAGAAAAAAAAAAGCAACAAAACAAAGCCCCTTCCTTAGAAATTGAAAAAAGAATGAAAGCAGAAGACTAAAGAACATATTTAGTAGGCTTTGTACCTGCACGTTCGAAGGACTTCCTACTCGGCATGTACGAAGGATCCATTCCCCAGCTCTTCTGGAACCGATTTATCTGTTTATTTGGCAAAAGAATCAATGAAGTATATCTTTTTCTAACACACCAAGAAATCAAGCAAACAATTCGAATTCTAAGGGCAGATTAGTAGCAAGAACAGGAGAGAGTTTGGCATAACCGTTGGCATGAGGCATTTTTAGGAAACAAAAAACAAAGTCACGAGAGCTTATGATATCAGAGACATGCTCTTAACTTAGTCATGCCAATAGAATCCTCAAATGTCGAACAAAGAAGTTGGGACCCTCGAAAGTGTAGTCAAAAGCGACTCAAGTGTGGAACAAAGGGTGTACTTTGTTCAAGGGCTCTAGAGAAAGAGTCGAGCCTCAATTAAGGGGAGACGGTTCGAGGACACCATAGACTTCAAGGGAGGCTCTATGGTGTACTTTGTTCGAGGAGAGGATTGTTGGAAGAGGAGTCCCACATTGGCTAATTAAGGGGTTGATCATGGATTTATAAGTAAGGAACACATCTCCATTGGTACGAGGCCTTTTGAGAAGCCAAAAGGCAAAACTATGAGAACTTATGCTTAAATGAACAACATCATACCATTATGAAGAGTCGTGGTTCCTAACAAATACCTAGTGGATTAAAAGAACTACAAAATTCTCAAGAACAAAAGGATTCTCCATTTTTAATGTCAACATAAAACTTTTAACAAACATAAACAATGAAGAATTAGAAGACAGGGTTTCCAATAAGTTACAAGCAAAGCTAAAGCATACCTCTTCCTGCAAATTGTCAAATTTGTCCCAGTAACCCTTCGGCTTGCGGTGCTTATATGCCAAGGAAAGATTCATAAGTGATGCAATCCTTCTGAATCCACCCATGCGTGTGATTGCCTTCTCAATATCTACCCTTCCATGCATACGAAGTTGCTTTCTCATTGGCATAAATCCTTCCTGCCCATGTTCTGAAATAAACTTCAACACCTCTGCTTTGAGAACTTCAACGTCTCTTTGTAAGCCAGGAATTTTGGGCCTTGATCTGGGTGAGCTTCTCCCATTGACATCTGAAACTCTCTCACCCGTTGTCGTATGGTCATTGAATTGATTGTTTTGATTTGAAGAACTTTTCTCCTCTGAATCACCTTTCTCAAATGATTCAAAAGAATTTTTTAATCCCCTTTTCTCGATGGAGTCCCGAATTGCACATAAGTTTGAAGGAAGATCTTCATATACCACCTGAATACACATGATTCATCGTAAAAGAACTGAAACTTATATAATATTTTTGGCAATTCTATCGTTATTTTCTAAATATACTAGTATTGTTAGGATCGCACAACAATGCACACACTTGATCTAGATGAATACAAAGAATAGGATAAAGGCAAGGAGGAATATTGGCCAATAGTTGAGACCCAATCTAGAGATGTTTCAGCTTATATGCCTACTAATGCTAGAATCAAATGTGGTATTTCCGTCTCTAGAGTAGGATATGTAGCTCAAATTAAAGCCATGAAACAAATAGCCGACAGATCAAGATTGGAATCGGCTCAAACAGGTTTTCCAACAAGCCTTACAAGGAGCTCTAGGAACTCTAACAATGAGTTACATTTACGTACCATCATGTGTACACCAAAAGAGAAGAATGGAGAAAGTACATTTTAAAAGCACCACCTAAGGGATATATATAGTCTGAGAGAATACAGAGAACGGAGAAATTACATTTTCAATTCCTAACGGGTATATATATGGTTTCAATTTACTATATATAGCTTTAACAGATATAACTACGTACTATATATAAATATTTTTCTACTTCTTCTAAGTGCAGGATAACCACAAGGGGTTGCGAGTTTTTTCTACCCATTGGGGCCCTCCCTTCACCACCCCATGAGGATGGTCTATCGGGTTCATAACTACTCCTCTTACTACAGGACACTTACCTAGCCAACATTTAGATTTGGCTCTACCCAAACTTTTCTGGTTTACCCCAGCATTCCCCACTTGTCCGACTGTTGCTTAGCAATTTTTGGATATCAAATGAACCTCCTCGTAATGTGGCCGATTTCCCCTCTTTTTCAATTCTTAACGGATATATATGGTTTCAGTTTACTGTACATAACGTTAACAAATATAACTACGTACTATAATAAATATATCTATGTCAGATTTTTACTAGCCGACTCCATATCCCAATATCCCAACAACTACCGACATAAAACTAATGAGTGATTAAAGAAAAAAAAGATAGAAAATGTAAAAAGGAACCTCTTCCATTAGAGCCTCAGAAAGAAAGGTATCTTTGTGCATTCTGGACTCCACAGAGTATTTCAAGAGAGTATGATGACTTCCCAACTGCTCAAAATGCCATTTTCCTGTAAGAGAGTCAAAGTCTCCCTCAACCTGTTCAAAGCTAATCTCTTGTTCAAGCTGTTCACACAAGTCCAAAACCACACGAGCGTGCAGAACCATATATAGTAGACCCTTGCATCCTTCCTGCACATAAAAAAGGTAGCCAACACCAATCAAGTATCTTGCTGAATTGCAGCAATTCATGTTCTGATTTTACCTGAACAATGCGAACTTTGTTGCTTTCTCTTGACAGTATCTTGCTGATTGCTAGATTTGGAACTACTCTGCAATCAATTAATTTCACCACTAACAAGATTTGACACTATTCCACGAACAATTAACTACCAAGAACATAGCCATAGATAACTTACTCGGGAAGACTTTCATAAGCAGTCAGGACATTCCAGACTTCACGAACAGGAGCTTTCACAGTTATGCTAGCCACCACACAACGATGAACGCCTCCATTTTCCTTCAGTGAAATTCATCTTATAAGAAATTTTGGCAATTTAAGAGCCAGACACAAAATAGGATCATCTCCATTGAAAAACTGTCGACTTATTCGTTTCTACTACTCTAATGGCCACTGATGATGGGTCTAAAAGGATGTCATTAGTGTTAGGAATCAGGACCCTCCACAATAGTATGATATTGTCCACTTTGAGCATGAGCTCTCATGGCTTAAAGCTCTCGTGGCTTTGATTTTGGGGACCCAAAAGGTCTTCTACCAATGGAGACATTCCCTAAATTAGCCAATGTGGGACTCACTCCCAATAATTCTCAACAATCCTCCCCTCGAACAAAGTACACTATAGAGCTTCCTCCGAGGCCTATGGAGCCCCCAAACAACCTCCCCTTAATCTTAATCGAGGCTCGACTCCTTCTCTGGAGTCCTCAAACAAAGTACACCCTTTGTTCTTTTGACTACACCTTCGAGACCCACAACTTCTTTGTTCGACATTTGAGGATACTATTGACATGGGTAAGTTAAGGGCATGGGTCTGATACCATGTTAGGAATCACGACCCTCTACAATGGTATGATATTGTCCACTTTGAGTATAAGCTCTCATGGCTTTATTTTGGACTTCCCCAAAAGGCCTCATACCAATAGAGATGTATTCCTTACTTTTAAACCCATGATCATTCCCTAAATTAGCCCACCTGGGACTTCCCTCCCAACAATCCTCGATAGATCCATTATAAAAAAATAACGAATCAGAAGAAAATATTTCTGCAGAAATGATCACAAATTATCCCTATAAATCAGACATTCTAGAATTGGTTCACATACCAGCAAACCATCAAATCGACGGAGATGAACTTCATCGACCATGCAACGTTTGTCGAGTTTGCAAACTTTTCCAAAAACTCCCCAGTTGCTATTCAATTCATTAGACAATGGGGGCAAGGTTCCCAAATTGGAACTAGAATTTTCCTGTAATAGTTCATCTTTCTCACATGCCGCACCATTAATTGTATTAGAAAGAATCATGGACTTGGAATCTTCACTGTTTCCTACTCTTTGACCCCCTTCAGAACTCCCTTCAGCTCTACAAGCCAAGGCCCGAAGATTCACCGGAAGATCTGATCTAATTATTCTTTCTAGAAGAATGGCAGGAAAATTAAATCTTGGTATCACATTAACTTCATACGACAAAATTGTCGGGGATGACCTGCAGAAAGTAGCATTAAAATTTGAAAACAACTCAAACAACATGAAAACAATCTTATAGACAACATACTACCTAGTATCCATAAATAACATAAAAATTACTGGATTTTTATATTCTTAAATTTTAAAAATGAGTAAACAAACAAAATTTTACCTTGTACCAGCTTTCAAGGACCATTTGCCTTCAAACTTTTTAAAGTCTCCATCAACCATGGAAAAGTGGAGTTCACGACTACCATCCTATGACCAACAGTTGACTAGCGTCAATAGCAACAGAGCTAGTGTATTACACGCATATATATATACATATATATATATATATATATATATATATATATATACATACATATATGTTTTTCTTACAGAATTTAGTAACTCTTGAAGATCCAAGACAACTCGAGCTTCGATATGCCAATACAATGCCCGTTGCAGTCCTCTTTGCTCCAACCATATCCGACCAGGATGTGGACAAGGAATTCTCCCACTGGACTTAATAATAACTAGTCCGTTTAAACGGTAGAGATAAAGAAAACATTGCAAAGAATTCACAAATAGCTAGAACAAGATCAAATTATCCCGTAAAATGGTTTGGAATCAAAATTTTATTCAGTTGGGAGTTTGTGGTAAAACATATATCATTCAGCGAACATAACATAACTCTATCTGACATAAAACATGAAGCCTCCCGGTCTCAAAAAAAGAAAAAACACATACAAATATAAATATTCTTTCTATATTGTTTCATCGTCAATAGTAAACATAACACATAACACAACATGTGAGATCCCACATCAATTGGGGAGGAGAACGAAGAATTATTTATAAGGTTGTGGAAATCTCTCCCAAACGTGTTTTAAAAATCTTAAAGAGAAGTCCAAAATAAAAAGTACAAGGAAGACAATATCCGCAAGTAGTAGACTTGGGCTGTTACATAACATTTGATTCCTTAGGTAAATGTTCTGGAATGTTGAAATATAAATCATTGGCAATTGAGTATAAAGTTTTTTTTTTAGTATGTATGGGCTCGCCCCTCTACTCGGTAGAACGATCCACACAATAGAGGCAGCCACCTCAGTACTTCGGATGGCCCAAATTTAATTGCCACACAAACTTCAAATGGAATCAATACAAGGAAAAGTTTTGGAACGAATTATATTGATCAAAAGAAAACTCGTGATTCGAATCACTCCACAAAATAGTTTGATCAAGATTACTTGAATGACTCTAGCATGCAAATCTAACCACAAGAAATGCAACTGTACAAGCTCATGGCTTAAGAAGCATAATATGCAACTTTCATTATGATTAGCTTCTCCTCAAAAAAAATTTTAAAAGGCGTATTGTAGGGAGAGGTTTTCACACCCTTATAAGAATGCTTCGTTCTCCTCCCCAACCGATGTGGGATCTCGCAATCCATCCCCTTCGGGATCCTGGGACACCTTATTTCGTATCACGTCCTAAAGTAAACCAGCTGATGAGAACTTCCAATAACAATAAAAATAACAAATTACAGAAATGTAATTCCTGCAATCAAATTACGAAGAAAAAGAACTTCCCGCAAAAAACAAAGAAATCAGAACACGAAACGAGCAATCATTTCTTCAAAAAAGCAAAAAGAAATCAGCCACGCTACCTGGAGACAAGATTAGGGATGAAATCCGCAAGCCGCTCATAATCCGTAAGAGCATTCCAAACCGATTCAATCCCAGAATTAACAAAAATATTAGCCCGAATCTGGCGCTCTCTCCACGACACAACCTCCACTTCACAATACACATCTCTCTCCCTCTCTACCTCTCCCTCCCCATTTCCATCTCGACCACCGTAAACCCCGCTCCCTCTCTTCAAACTAAAGCTCTTAGTGAAATACTCACTCGAGTTCCAATCAAATCCTTCGGCAGCAGAAACAGAGACGCATTTGGTGCGCAATGAAAGAGAGGAAGAAGATGAGGTTGGGCAATACTCCGGTTGTCTGGCATAGACCCCGGACGCCGGCGGCAATGACGGCCCCAAATTGAATCTCAAAGGTCTGCAAACAATCATGGTTCAATGATTCATGAACACATCAAGAGAAACAGAATTTCGTTAATGGCGGATTACAGTGAGTGAGTGAGCAACTGAGTAAGAGTGAAAATGGCGATCAGTTAGAGAGAGAGAGAGATTGTGACCATTAGTTTTGATTTTTTTTGGCGGTTTTCTCTGTCTGGTAGCACAAGAACAAGTGGCTGTAGTGAAAGTTTATGAACCGGTAGGGGTACTTTTGTCATTTCCAATCTGTTTGTGGCTGAGATTACGGTTACGCCTTCCGTCGGATCACGGATGTTTCCTGTAATGATATTTTTGTTTCGGCCTAAAATTACGCAATTCGCCTTCACAAATTGTGATATTTATTTTAATTCTTTCTTTATTTTGTTTTCTTTTATTTTATTTCATAGTATTAATATTTAATATTAAATTAATCTTTCGAATTTTCTCTTTTCAATTTCATTTTTTGAAGTAAATTAATAAAAATAACTTTAAATTTTACCAAATACACTACCAAAATTTTAATAACACCTTTAAATTTTTTTATTAAAAAATTCTTAAACTTAAAATAAATAAAAAAATTAGAAAAAAAAGACACTTATTATTAAAAAAAAAAAACTCTTTTAACTTAAAAAAATATTTTTTTTTATTTGAACTTTTTAAAAAAATATATTTATAATTATTATTGAGTTTTCCCACTCTCACTAATATTCTCAAACTTTTTAATTAAAAGAAATTAAGAACATTTAAACTTTTTTAAAAAAAAAATTATAATACATGCACGGTTAAACCACATTTCAAAAATTAGCGTTGATTTTTAAATGTAAAATTAAAAAGTTTGGAAATAATGTATGAACTGTTCGTAAATAGTTTTCATCCCGATAATAATTTTTCTGATTTTTTGGTTTTTTTATTTTTAGATATAGAAGGTGTTAATGCTATTTTTAAAAATTCTTGATTTTTTAAACATAGTATGGGCTGGTATTTTTAAATTTTTTTAAAAACTTGGAAGATATTGATGAAACTTTTAAAAGTTTAAGGTATTTTCAAAACACCGGTAAAAGTTAGTATTTTTCTTTTTTTATGATAGTTCTAATAAATTATTATTATTATTATTGAAAGGGTTGACCACAAATTTGAAAATTTTGCTTCGACACTTTTGAAAATAAATATTAGCCGAACAAAAAAACAGGAGATTTGATATAAATTGTAGTTAAAATTCAATCTCATTTAATGAGGGCTATTGCAAAACTCACTGGATGAATCAGTGTTTTCCTTCGGTTTGTCGAGACTCACGACCATTCACTGCAAGTCTTAGAGGAGCCCTTCGACGAGAAGCTCTTTCGTTTTTGGAAATGTTTCAAATAAATGAACACCCTACACAGAATCGTAGATAGTAGTGATTGATCAGTAGGTCTTTTGAATATTCATATTCGAAAGATATATACGTACATTTACTATGTAAAATAAATTGTTTTGCTCATCGATATAATTACGAGGGATAATACTAAATTAATATAACCCAACTATATGTACTATATGTATATATTATTCAATTTGCATTGATATATGTATTTCACTTACTGCAAATTTTGTTATATATACTCGGCATATTTAATTATATTTAAATATTTGTTTGTGAATATAACTAAATTTTTATTAAAATTAATTAAGATATCATATTATTGACATATACATGTAATGGTATATTTACAATTTACAGCATTGAGCGTTTGTAGGCCAATGGTTAGGATAATTGCCTTCCAAGCAATAGACCGACCTGGGTTCGACACCCGGAGACGCAACTTTTTAATTTCTTTTTTGCAACTGTTATTTTGTTTTTCAAAAGACCTTTTTTCTTCCAACGTCTTGCGTTTGTAGTCCAACGGTCAGGATAATTGCCTTCCAAGCAATAGACCCGGGTTCGACTCCCGGAAAACGCAACTCTTTAATTTCTTTTTTGCAAACTTTTATTTTGTTTTCGGAAAGACCTTTTTTCTTCCAACATCTTGCGTTTGTAGTCCAACGGTCAGGATAATTGCCTTCCAAGCAATAGACCCGGGTTCGACTCCCGGCAAACGCAACTCTTTAATTTCTTTTTTGCAAACTTTTATTTTCTTTTTGGAAAGACCTTTTTTCTTCCAACATCTTGCGTTTGTAGTCCAACGGTCAGGATAATTGCCTTCCAAGCAATAGACCCGGGTTCGACTCCCGGAAAACGCAACTCTTTAATTTCTTTTTTGCAAACTTTTATTTTCTTTTTGGAAAGACCTTTTTTCTTCCAACATCTTGCGTTTGTAGTCCAACGGTCAGGATAATTGCCTTCCAAGCAATAGACCCGGGATCGACTCCCGGCAAACGCAACTCTTTAATTTCTTTTTTGCAAACTTTTATTTTGTTTTTGGAAAGACCTTTTTTCTTCCAACATCTTGCGTTTGTAGTCCAACGGTTCCAAGCAATAGACCCGGGTTCGACTCCCGGCAAATGCAACTCTTTAATTTCTTTTTTGCAAACTTTTATTTTCTTTTTGGAAAGACCTTTTTTCTTCCCACATCTTGCGTTTGTAGTCCAACGGTCAGGATAATTGCCTTCCAAGCAATAGACCCGGGTTCGACTCCCGGAAAACGCAACTCTTTAATTTCTTTTTTGCAAACTTTTATTTTGTTTTTGGAAAGACCTTTTTTCTTCCAACATCTTGCGTTTGTAGTCCAACGGTCAGGATAATTGCCTTCCAAGCAATAGACCCGGGTTCGACTCCCGGCAAACGCAACTCTTTAATTTCTTTTTTGCAAACTTTTATTTTGTTTTTGGAAAGACCTTTTTTCTTCCAACATCTTACGTTTGTAGTCCAACGGTCAGGATAATTGCCTTCCAAGCAATAGACCCGGGTTCGACTCCCGGCAAACGCAACTCTTTAATTTCTTTTTTGCAAACTTTTATTTTCTTTTTGGAAAGACCTTTTTTCTTCCAACATCTTGCGTTTGTAGTCCAACGGTCAGGATAATTGCCTTCCAAGCAATAGACCCGGGTTCGACTCCCGGCAAACGCAACTCTTTAATTTCTTTTTTGCAAACTTTTATTTTGTTTTTGGAAAGACCTTTTTTCTTCCAACATCTTGCGTTTGTAGTCCAACGGTCAGGATAATTGCCTTCCAAGCAATAGACCCGGGTTCGACTCCCGGCAAACGCAACTCTTTAATTTCTTTTTTGCAAACTTTTATTTTCTTTTTGGAAAGACCCTTTTTCTTCCAACATCTTGCGTTTGTAGTCCAACGGTCAGGATAATTGCCTTCCAAGCAATAGACCCGGGATCGACTCCCGGCAAACGCAACTCTTTAATTTCTTTTTTGCAAACTTTTATTTTCTTTTTGGAAAGACCTTTTTTCTTCCAACATCTTGCGTTTGTAGTCCAACGGTTCCAAGCAATAGACCCGGGTTCGACTCCCGGCAAATGCAACTCTTTAATTTCTTTTTTGCAAACTTTTATTTTCTTTTTGGAAAGACCTTTTTTCTTCCAACATCTTACGTTTGTAGTCCAACAGTTAGGATAATTGCCTTCCAAGCAATAGAACCTAGGTTCAACTCCCGGCAAATGCTACTTTTTATTTTCTTTTTCACAACTATTGTTCTGTTTTTAATTTCTTTTTCACAATTATTATTTTGTTATTGAAAAAACCTTTTTTCTTTTAACATCTTGCATTTGTAATCCAACGGTTATGATAATTAAATTCCAATCTAATTGGCCTGAGTTCGAATCCCGGTTTTAATCCCTTTTTTTACATCTATTATTTTGTTTTTTCAAAGAAAAAAAGAAAAGTGGTCCCGAGTGGAGTCCGAAGGGGGGAAGGAATAGGAAGCGAGGAGGGGAGTGGGGCCCACAAGCGTAAAGCGGGTCGTACCGATTCCCACCCCCATTGAATGCAATCACGTGGGCGCGAACCCTGCATCGTACGATGGGGTGCAGAAATCGTAGCCGTCCAATTTCCCAGATGGACCCCACTGCTCCCTCGTCACTGCTCTCTCCTTCTTCGTCAATCGCCGTCTTTCCTAATTCCCATATGTCCATCTCCATTTTCTTCCTTCCTTTTCATCCCCACCTCTTCCCCAAAATGCCCCTTTTCCATTCGATCTAGTTGGCTTGAATTTAGAAGCGGGTCGTTCATATAAATAATTCGAATAGAGTCCACAATACAACTTTTTATTTTCGAGTTAGGTTCAGTTAGACTATAAACGAGAGAGATCACGAGTCACAATGCATCACCAATATAGGTTACACATCAAATATTTTTAAAAGTAGGATTGAGTTATAATCCTATTTTCGAGTCCGGATAGACTAAAAAATGTCACTCTGCAAGTTGATTTAAATTTTTTGTTCGGAACCCAACTCGTACCGAACAAAAACCATCCCAATTTTTATGATTTAAAGTTTGAGTTGAATAATATGAGTTAATTAAATTATTGAGTCGGGTGAACACTCCAACTTCTACCTAGTAATTTATTTTTTATATTAAATTTTTTATCATAAGCTTTTAATATTAAAAGATAAAATATTAACGTAAATAATTATTTTATTTTGTTATTTGAGCATATGAAAAGGACATATATTTGACATTAATGTCGAAGTTAGTACAATATTATACTCTTAAACTTTAGCTTACTATCAATTTTTGTATTGGTTGGATTGACATAATAAGGTTCGCAATCCAACCTCTTATTTTTTTGGTGTGTTGGGCTAAATTGTCCCGTTGTTTATTTTTTAAAATTTTTTTAAATATATTTTATCCTTACTTTAATAACAAAATCTCATGAAATTTAAATATCAAATATTTATAAGTCACAATTAATCACAGACATCTGTTACAAACGTTAAATAATCTTCATATTCATAACAATCTTAAAGGTAGAGTAGGGTTCCCGTTAAGTTGGATCGTAAACTCTATTTTTGAGTTTGTTGGATTTACCCAACAAAAAAAATCTCAACCCATGAACTAAATTAAATTTTCAATTTTCCAAAAATATAACCTATCTCAAAAAAAAAAAAAAAAAAAAAAAAAAAAAAAAAAAAAAAAAAAAAAAAAAAAAA